CTGTCCCAACTGCTGTTCACTCCCTAAAGCCCCCAAATAAAAGAGCAACTCTTTCTTCCCAGCCCTTGTATTGCCTGTCAATGCTGGGTCCTCTCTCTCCTATGGGAAAATAAAATAAACTTCCTCTCTTATCTCTTAGTAGTGAATTCTTCCACAAGCCCGCATCACCGGCCAAACCCTGACACCCAGAGTAGTCAAATTCACAGAGACAGAGAGTAGGAAGGTGGTTGCCATGGGCCGGGAGGATGGGGCAATGGAGAGTTGTTTACTGGGTACAGAGTTCCAGTTTAGCAAGATGAAAGTAATTGTGGAGATGGATGGTAGTGACGGTTGCGTAACAATGTGAATGCTGAAAGGTAGCAGAATATACTATACCCTGGCCAGTTTTGCTCAGTGGTTAGAGCGTCGGCCTGTGGTCCAGAGAGACCCGGGTTCGGTTCCCACTAAGGGCATGTACCTCGGTTGCAGTTTGTCCCTGGTCCTGGTTGGGTTGTGTGGGTGGCAGCCACTCGATGTGTCCCTTTTGCGTCGATGTTTCTCTCTCTCCCTCCCTCCCTCCCTCCCTCCCACTCTATCTAAACAAAAAAGGGAAAAATGTCCTCAGGTGAGGATAAAAAAAAAAAAGAAAAAGAAAGAAAGAAAGAAAGAAAGGTAGCAGAATATGTTACCCCAAAATATGCCACTTCAATACTATTTTGGGCCGAAAGCACTTGAAAAACAGGAAATGCAAGGAGAATCTTTTATTGAATCGAATCCCTTTATCTGCCTAATGACAGAGCCTCCAAAGGGAACCGAGAGGTCATAGGTCCCCTCCTGGGAGTTTCACCAACCAGGGAAGACAGACTCTTGTCACAGGAGGGAGATTAGGAGTAGGCACCAAACGGGGTCACAAACTATCATATCTCCCAGCTATTCTATTCTCCCACTTGCATTTCCTCTCTCCTAAGAGGCTGTATCCCTCTCCTCTTGTCCCTGTGGTATTTAAGCCTAAAACATAAAGCCACCTCTTTGAGTTACTACTCCTTTCCCCCAGGGTATCTCCCAAGTACACTGTATGAAGTTCATAAACTTCTGGGGTTTTGCATTGTTATTCTCTTTCACTACAAAGATCTCTAAGAACTCCCCTACAATACACTCAACACTACTACTGAGCTGTACACTTAAAATTGGTTAAGATGGTACATTTTGTTATGTGTATTTTGCAACAATTTTTTTTAAAAGCCCAATAGCCTGGCCGGTGTGGCTCAGTGGTTGAGCTTTGACCCATGCACCAAGAGGTTGCAAGTTCAGTTCCTGGTCAGGGCACATGCCCAGGCTGTGAGCCAGATCCCCAGTGGGGGGTGTGCAGGAGGCGGCCAATTGATGTTCTCACTGATGTTTCTCTCTCTCTCCCACTCTCTCTGTAAAATCAATAAAGAGAAACAAAACTTAAAAGCCCCAATAACGCCCTGGCCAGTTTGGCTCAGCGGTTAGAGCGTCGCTGAGGTCCAGAGAGACCCGGGTTAGGTTCCTGCTAAGGGCACGTACCTTGGTTGCAGTTTGTCCCCAGGCCTGGTTGTGTCATGCGGGCGGGCCTGGTTGGGTCGTGTGGGCAGCAACCACTCGATGTGTCCCTTTCACATCGATGTTTCTCTCTCTCTCCCTCCCACTCTATCTGAACAAAAAATGGAAAAAAATGCCCTCCGGCGAGAATAAAAAATAGATAAATAAAAGCCCCAATAAGTGAGGGGATGTAAGTGAGGGGATGAAACTGGTTCTTTCTCAGCTGGAGCAGTTGTGTTCTGCTTCGAGGCAAATGCACACATGTAAACAGGAAAAGGAACAGAGTCCCTGGGACTGCTGTGGGTTTGTTTCCCCCCTAAGCTGCAGATCCCCCTGACTACCTTTTACGGTTATATAACCAACGACCGAACAAGGCAAACCTCTCCCATCCAGCTCTCTGGGGGAAAACGTTTGCCAGTCATTGTGTTCTCGGGCATTTTCACGTCGCTCAGTTCTGAGGCCCATACAAGGCTGTAACCTTCAAGGGAACTGAACCCTTGGGGGTGACGGGAAGGAAGAAAAGCAGACAAATAGGCACCAGTCCAATGTCTGCCCTCCCCCACCCCACCAGCCCAACACCCAGGCCCTTTGTGAGCTCAGCACAACTTGTGCCCAGCGTGCCCGCCAATCGGACCGTGTTGCTGGGCTTCTGTCACGCTCCCATTGGTGGCAGCTCCGAAGCAATTTCTCCTGGGCCGCCTGCAAAGGACGGATCTGGGGGAGGAAGGAACTGAAAATGGATCCGGTGACTCATCCAGCTTCTGGCACATTCCAGCACAGGCATTCTAGGTCAGGGGATTGGAGGGTTAGGGGCACAGCCTGACACCTGATTCCTGAGACCCAGTGGGACATCTGGACTTTGGCAGCTCGTCCCAACAAACAGAGAAACAGTTGCCACAACAAAGACAACAAACATCCTCTGTTGACCAAGGTTTCTGAACCTCGGCATTCTTGACCTTTGGAGCCAGGTGACTGTGTGGTAGGGGACTGACCCTAGTCCAGAGGTTAGCAGCATCCCTGGCCTCTACCACTAGCTGTAGTGCCAGTCCCTAGGCTCCTCACTCCCCCCACCCCCACCCCAAAATAGTATCTGTCTGAGGGACCAAATCACTCAGATTGAGAACCACCTTCTGAGAAACACCTACTCACTGAAACAAACCCCCGCTGGACTTCAGTTGGGGCAGGCAGGGGTATTTCAGAATTTTTTTTTTTTTTTTTTTTTGGAGACAACATCGGTGTTTGCTCCAACTCCTAAGAATGTTGTTTTCTCTTTGGAGATAACCCTGGGCCCGCTCCCCACCCTCTGAGCCTGTCTCCCTCCTCCCTCCCCGCCTTTAACATCGGGGCTGTTTTTCTCTGGAAAGAGCTCAGTCACAGGGCTCCTGACTCAGCCTGTAGACATTCGTCACGAGGCCGGCAGCAAAACAGCAGCCAGAAGTCAACAGGGTGCGGTGTGGAACCAGGCCGGGTCACCTCAGTGAGAACTCCCCCCTTTTCTGTTCCTCTAAGAGCTTCTGACGTCTCCCCGAAATTCAGGGAGAACTCACTTTACAAAGCGCCACAACGCTTTGTTCCTTTAAAACCTCTTTCCAGAAATTTAGAGAGAAATATTCTTTACGGAAATCTGTATCGGATGTCACTGGGGTCTCCTGCCAACCTGAAAAATGACATCTGCTTCACTTTAATTTCCCAGTAGTGGGTTCATTCTCTTCGGAAAAAATGTTAAAAACAAGAGGGTATAGTCTATTTTGAACTGCCCAGTCCTTTTTCATAAATACAAACATAGTCAGTTGCCAAAGAAAATACAGAGTTTTGTTTTGGTTGGATACACTTTTTAAGTATGTTTAAATAGTATAATGTTCACAATTTAAACAAGGAACATAGTCTTTTCCTGGTAGCAACATTTTTTTAGTTGCTTGGGGAACAGGCCCAGGGTTAGTAATTTCATTGCTACCTCTTTAAAAACTTTTATTCTTGAAGGCCTTAGAGAGTAGAAATGAAAATAACTCCCTCCTCCCCATTTTTAGGAATAGGCTTTTTTTTTTCTAGAAGAATCCAGAAGGAAGAAATGAAAATGACCCCTTCCCCATTCTTAGGAATAGAAATATTTTCTAGAAGAATCCAGAAGGGAGAAATGAAAATGACTCCTTCCCCCATTTTTAGGAATAGACATATTTTTTCTAGAAGAATCCAGAAGGAAGACATGAAAATGCCCCCTCCCCCATTCTTAGCAATAAAATTTTTTTTCTAGAAAAATCCAGAAGGAACTGTGACTGGGATATTAAGGGCATGACGGGGACTTTCAACTGTGAACTTTTTTAAAAACCTGTTTTAAATGTTCACCATGTACATATATTTTAAAACACTTAAAATAGGTCATCGTAAAAATGAAAGCGACCCAGCTGGTGATGTTTTTTCTCCTTTTACCCACGTGGGATTTCCCTGTAGGGTTAAATTTCATATTTGGGGCATTAAACAAAGTTTCCCCCTTAAAAACATACAGAGCTGAGTCCGCCAGTGTCTTTTGAAGACCCCGGGCTTCAAGGGGTGTCATGGCTGAGCTCGGGGACACACGGCCCGGCCGAAACGCCCAGACTTGCGTTGCAATCGAGGACCGGGGTTCCCACCCCAAGGCCGCGCAGGGCCCGCAGGAAGAGTCGAGAACAATCTAGAAAGTTCCAGCGGGGCCCGCTTCCAGGCGCACTCGACGTGCCCACTGAGCGGTGGGGTCGCACCCTGGTCCCCACCGAAGCTGGGTTTGCGCGCTCGGCGAACCCTGGCCCGAGGCCCCGAGGCGCGCGTGCGCCCGCGCGGGCCGGGAACTGCCGAGTCATCCGCCTTGTCGCGGTGCCCGCTGGGGGGATGGGCGCCGCCCCGAGCCGCGGCGGGGGTGGGGCTGGGCCTGGGGGGCCCTCGCGACGGGCCGGGGGGCACAGGCGTTCAGGGGAACACCGGCACTGTCATCCATGTAAACGGGACCCTGAAATAAAGACCCTCCGTCTCGCGGGGGGAGGGGCGGGCGGGGCGCCCGGGAGGAGAGCGGGACCCCGACTCCGCGCGAGGCGCTGGGCCCGACCCCCGCCCGCCGAGGGCGCGCTCCGAGGACCGCGGGGACCGTTGGGGTCGAGCGGACGGGGCGCCGGGCCGGCAGGCGGGGGCGCGGGGTGGCCGCCCGCTCCGGGCGCCGCGGACTCCGCGCCGGGTTTTCGCGGCCGCCGCGGCCCCTCCCCCGCCGAGTGAGCGCCGGCCACGTCCGCGGCCGCAGCGCGCAGCCGACGCGCCGATCCCTCCGCCCTGCCCGCGGGGCGTCGGCCCCCCGCCCGCCAGAGTCACCCCGAAGCCGCAGCCTGCACCCACCGCACCACACTTCGGGGGGGTCCCGAAGACACTGCGCAACCGGGTGTCGCCCCAGAGAGCCGGAGGGCCGGGGAAAGTAGTCCCTTCTCGGCGCTTCCGCGGAGGGATCCGGGCGCAGCACCGCCGGCCGCTATATAAGGCGGCGCCGGGCGCGGCGCAGGCAGTCTGGTGCCGACCGCGGTTCAGTTGCTGATCTTCTCCGTGCGCAGCCTTCGCCGTCACCTGGTGAGGAGGGGCGCCCGCCGGCCGGGGGCTCGCGGCCGTCCCGCGGGGTGGGGGCGGGGCGGAGCCCGCCGGGGTCTCGGTCGCCGCGGCCCCGCGAGCCGGGCCCGAGGGGGGAGCGCGGCAAGATGGCGGCCCGGCCGCTCCGCCGCGGCCCGTGAGGTGGGCGAGGGGCCGCGGCCCGGGAAGCGGGGGACGAGCGCGGTGTCTGTGGGACGGGTTTGGGCCGTGTGTGGGGGACCGAATGTGACGTGTTTGGTGGGCCGACTGGGTCGAAGCCGCCTTTTCGGCGGCGTGAGGGGGCCCTGACCGGGCCGGGGGCGCGCAGAGCCGCCCTGCACCCACGGCGGGGGCGGAGGCGCGCGCCGGCCGAGCGGCCGCCTGACGTCACCCTCTGTGGGCTCACAGTGGAGGGCGGGGCCACCTTCCGGGGCGGGCGGTGTCGGTCGGCGGCGGGACACGGGGTTTGGGCCTGGGGCGGTTACACGGTGCTGAACTGCCACGGGCGGGCGGACGGACGGACAGCGGGGGGGAGTACGTGAGGCCCGCAGCTGACTTGGGTCCGGTTCCCCTGCTTTACTCCCGTAAGTGCCTGGAGCTTGGTTTTTGACTTTGTCAAGAAGGGACTTGATTTGTTCCAGGCAGCTTTATTTTATTTACTTATTTTTTTTAGCGTCTTGGTATAACAGTGGTTAATAAAGTCATACGGGTGTTCAGGTGTACTTTTCTACGATACACGGTGGCTACATTGCAAGGTGTGTCAGACAAATTTTTATCTTAGTTGTTTGACCAAAAGAAAGTGATATTTAGCCCTGGCCGGTTTGGCTCAGCGCTAGAGCGTCCGCGGACGGTCCAGAGAGACCCGGGTTCGGTTCCAGCTAAGGGCACGTACCTCGGTTGCAGTTTGTCTCCAGCCCTGGTTGGATCAGGGTTGTGCGGGAGGCAGCCGCTGGATCTGTCCCTTTTTTCCTTGATGTTTCTCTTTCTCCCTCCCTGTCTGAATAAAATGTAGAAAAGTGTCTTCCAGTGAGGATGAAAAAAAAAAGTGATATTTAACTTCCAGCATTAGGATTGTGTTGACATGAATTGCTTGCTAAACTTGGAGTTTTTTGTTTGTTTGATCTTTGTTAGGATACACAATGCAGATCTTCGTGAAGACCTTGACGGGTAAGACCATCACGCTCGAGGTCGAGCCCAGTGACACCATCGAGAACGTCAAGGCCAAGATCCAAGACAAAGAGGGCATCCCCCCTGACCAGCAGAGGCTGATCTTTGCCGGCAAGCAGCTGGAAGATGGGCGCACCCTGTCCGACTACAACATCCAGAAAGAGTCCACTCTGCACCTGGTCCTGCGCCTCAGAGGTGGGATGCAGATCTTCGTGAAGACCTTGACGGGTAAGACCATCACGCTCGAGGTCGAGCCCAGTGACACCATCGAGAACGTCAAGGCCAAGATCCAAGACAAAGAGGGCATCCCCCCTGACCAGCAGAGGCTGATCTTTGCCGGCAAGCAGCTGGAAGATGGGCGCACCCTGTCCGACTACAACATCCAGAAAGAGTCCACTCTGCACCTGGTCCTGCGCCTCAGGGGTGGGATGCAGATCTTCGTGAAGACCTTGACGGGTAAGACCATCACGCTCGAGGTCGAGCCCAGTGACACCATCGAGAACGTCAAGGCCAAGATCCAAGACAAAGAGGGCATCCCCCCTGACCAGCAGAGGCTGATCTTTGCCGGCAAGCAGCTGGAAGATGGGCGCACCCTGTCCGACTACAACATCCAGAAAGAGTCCACTCTGCACCTGGTCCTGCGCCTCAGGGGTGGGATGCAGATCTTCGTGAAGACCTTGACGGGTAAGACCATCACCCTCGAGGTCGAGCCCAGTGACACCATCGAGAACGTCAAGGCCAAGATCCAAGACAAAGAGGGCATCCCCCCTGACCAGCAGAGGCTGATCTTTGCCGGCAAGCAGCTGGAAGATGGGCGCACCCTGTCCGACTACAACATCCAGAAAGAGTCCACTCTGCACCTGGTCCTGCGCCTCAGGGGTGGGATGCAGATCTTCGTGAAGACCTTGACGGGTAAGACCATCACCCTCGAGGTCGAGCCCAGTGACACCATCGAGAACGTCAAGGCCAAGATCCAAGACAAAGAGGGCATCCCTCCAGACCAGCAGAGGCTGATCTTTGCCGGCAAGCAGCTGGAAGATGGGCGCACCCTGTCCGACTACAACATCCAGAAAGAGTCCACTCTGCACCTGGTCCTGCGCCTCAGGGGTGGGATGCAGATCTTCGTGAAGACCTTGACGGGTAAGACCATCACGCTCGAGGTCGAGCCCAGTGACACCATCGAGAACGTCAAGGCCAAGATCCAAGACAAAGAGGGCATCCCCCCTGACCAGCAGAGGCTGATCTTTGCCGGCAAGCAGCTGGAAGATGGGCGCACCCTGTCCGACTACAACATCCAGAAAGAGTCCACTCTGCACCTGGTCCTGCGCCTCAGAGGTGGGATGCAGATCTTCGTGAAGACCTTGACGGGTAAGACCATCACGCTCGAGGTCGAGCCCAGTGACACCATCGAGAACGTCAAGGCCAAGATCCAAGACAAAGAGGGCATCCCCCCTGACCAGCAGAGGCTGATCTTTGCCGGCAAGCAGCTGGAAGATGGGCGCACCCTGTCCGACTACAACATCCAGAAAGAGTCCACTCTGCACCTGGTCCTGCGCCTCAGAGGTGGGATGCAGATCTTCGTGAAGACCTTGATGGGTAAGACCACCCTCAAGGTTGAGCCCAGTGACACCATTGAGAATGTCAAGGCCAAGATCCAAGGCAAAGCGGGCATCCTCCTGACCAGCAGAGTTTGATATTTGCTTGGAAAGAGTTGGAAGATGGGTGCACACTCAGTCTGGCCACAACATCCAGAAAGTCCCCTCTGCACCTGGTCCTGCACTTGAGATGTCTTAAGTGTCCCCCCTTTAAGTTTTCAACCAATTTAATTGCACTTTCCTTCAATAAAGTTGTTGCATTCCCAAGTAGTGGTTTGTTTTTTCTTTCAATTGTTAAGTAAGATTCTTTTTATTTAGGGTGGGGTGTGGTATCAAGTTCTGCAGTCTAACATGATTTTGTGGTAATGAGCAGGTAATGTCAGTGTAAGATGGTCTTAATATATAACTGTTGGGGGATGGAGAAGAATAAATAGTTGACATATCTGAGGTTTGCAGTTTTCCATATGTACACTTAAATGTAGGTAAACTGGTAAACAGTACTGACTCAAAATACTGACTTTGGGCATGGTGGTAGGGACCTGAAAATGGGCAAGTATCTGGAGTAATCCAGCAAGAAGATAAGGGGTGGTTGAAGGGAACATACAGTAGAGATAAACCCAGTTATATTTAAAATCACAGTTGCACCCTGGCTGATACGGTTCAGTGGTTAGTGGGTTGATCTGCAGACTAATGAGTTGTCAGTTCAATTCTGGTAAAGGGCGAGTGGTTAAAAAATGAAAGCTGTTGATTGAAATAAAGTTGCTCAAGTGTCAATTTTCCTGTATTTCATGTGAATACAGATACAGGATTTCTGTGTGTATAACTTTATTAGTAGTGGGTGAAGCAATTAGTCTTTGATCTTTATTTGCAGAAATTTATAGTGGGGCTTCCCAGAAATTAGGCCCATTAAAGAATTTGAGATTTTCTCTGAAGACTTTCTTCCATTCCCCCCAGTTAGGGTACCATGGTATAGAGGAAATCGTGTTTTCACTGCTAATTGTAAAATAACTGAAGTCAACAGTTTTGTGTTTGTTTCTTCTTCCCACAAAACAAGCAGCCTTTATTGCAGTAATACAAAACACTTTACATTTTGGCAATATTTTACAACACACTTAGCTTCAAGGGTTAGAAAGGAGAAAGTTGGAAACTAAAGGGGAAAATTTCGACAGAAGAAAAACTGCCCCAGTCCTCCCACCCAAATGAAATTCTGAATGTCACTTAATTTACCCAAGAAGAGGCCATGAGGAAAGCAGCAGGTAAAACTGGCGTGGCAATTTCATTCAAAACAGTCATCAGTGTATGGCCGGTTGCACTGATGATTTCTGTAGTCCCACTTTGCCTCTGTAGCCACCTCTGTCTCCATAGCTGCCACAACTCATCTCCAGTCACCCCTACTTCAGTCTCCACCATAGCCACCTGGGTTCCACCTCTTCCCCCATGATGTCTATAGCCCCTCTCTCCACTGCAGCCTCTACCCTGAAAATCTAAGGGATGAGAGTCCTCTGGTCTGGGTTCATTGCACTGATTGCAGGAATTCCTTCAAGTAAAGTTTGTATTTCCACATGACCAAACCCAGTCCCCACTTTTGGAGTCTCCACCTCTCCCCTGAAAGCCTCGTGGCCTCCTTATCCACCATGGTCTAGCCGCCCACCTCTACCTCCATCTCTCCTCGTAAATTCAGGTCTGGTGGCAAAGGACACTTGAATGATGTTGAGCCATGAAATTCTTATCAAACCAGGCAATGGCTGCCTTAGCTGAAAGAGGGTCGTCAAACTACACTGTCGCCTCCCCTTTTGGCTTCCCTGTGTCCTTGTCTGTGTACAGATTTATCATTGGTTTTCTGGTCTTGTTTGTCTTGGTAATTCCTATCTGTTTAAAGAACTCCTTGACTTGATCTGTAGACACACCCTCCCCAAATCCTTGCACAAAGATTGTGCTGTTATCTGAGTTACCAGATTCTGAATCAGCATCTTGTCTGGGTCCATAATCCCTGTGACTACCAAAATGTTTGAAGCCACTGCGGTCACCACCACTTGATCCTGTCACAGGACTCTTCCATCCTTATATCCCCCGTGCCCGCTACCTCCTCCCTGTGACCCGCCATATTTTCTTTTCTTTTTTTTTTTATTTATCCTCACCCGAGGACACTTTTCCCATTTTTTGCACAGATAGAGTGGGAGGGAGAGAGAGGAAGAGAGAAAGAGAGAGAAACATCGACGTGAAAGGGACACATCAAGTGGCTGCCACCCTCCGGACCACAGGTCGATGCTCTAACCGCTGAGCCAAACCAGCCAGGGCGTGACCCGCCATGTTTTCTATTACCTTCTCCATACCTACTCACATCATGTCAGTCATCTTGTGTGTGGTGGCTGTAATTTTCCCATTGTGAGTGGTAGGACTGCTGGTTTTGATTATAGGAATCATGCTGCTGATCATAATATGAACTTTGATGATGATCATAAGCTGACTGCTGGTCATATGAATCTTGTTGAACATAGTTCGGTCATATGAAGGCGCTCTTCCACCTTGGCCTCCTGATGATTCCATGTTTTGCTGTCCCTGGTTATTGTAAGACTGCTGACTGTACGAGCTCTATTTTTGACTCTCATAACCACTGTAAGATTGTGAATAACCTGATTGGCTTTGTCCATAACTGGAGTAGCTGCCATAATTCTGTCCATATGAGAAAATCAGTAAGTTGCCCATAGCCCGAGTAGCTTTCTTGTGCTTGTCCATAACCTTGATTGCCCTGATTTCCATAAGAAGAATAATTGCTGCTCACCCCCAGACTGACCATAACTTACAGAATCCGACATGACTAACGGTCATGGCACAGAGCCCCCACAGCCCACCAAGAACAAGGAATACCAAAGCCACATGGCACGGCGGCTGAAGGTGTACTGAGGGTGAAGTCAACAGGTTTAAGTCATAAATTTAAGGAGATCATAACTATAGAAAATGCCTTTTGAGAAATGTAGAAATTGTAGGCAAGTCCATTATTGTGGGTTTTTCACCATGTTGATACAGGTGCATGTAATACATATGTAGTGCAATGAATTTCCATGACTCACTACAAGTCAACATACAAGTCAAGTAGCAATGTTGCAAGAAACCCAGAAACTCCACCGGATCCTATAACCTCTTCCAGTTACTGCTGGAAGTTTTAGTGTAGTTTTGATGCTCATTAAGAATGAATGGCCTTGCCTGGCCAGTGTGGCTCAGTGGTTGAGTGTTGACCCATGCACCAAGAGGTCTTCGGTTTGATTCCCAGTCAGGGCACATGCACAGATTGCAGGCCAAATCCCCAGTAGAGGGGTGTATGGGAGGTGGCCAGTCGATGTTCTCTCTCATCAATGTTTCTATTTCTCCTTTCTTCCTCTAAAATCAATAACGACGAAAAAAGAAAAGAAAATGTGGGACTGGGTCATCTCATTACAGCCTCATGCCTCTTAAGACAAATGGAGACCCTGCCTGTCTTCCCCAGAGCTGGAATGATCTTGGGATTGGAGCACTAGAGCATTAATCTAATAAATCTGTGTCAGGGTGAGGGTGCTCAACTGAGAGCTCACTAAACACTTGAGATGACAATGCTTTCTGTCAAGTGTGAAAGGAAATTTGCTAATCCCAATAGAAAAATCAATGCAAACATTAAAAACCAGATGTAGAACGGGTTGCATACAAGCTCATTCCCAGGAAAAATACTTGAGTTAGGAATATTTTTCTCACCATTTATAATGTATACATATGTTGTGTGTGTGTTATAAAATCAAAGATAACCCATCTAAATTCCTAATCACTCATTTTTATCCCCCACTACTTAAAGTTGCATTTTTAAAACTACCCCCTGTGTAATACATACACCGTGTTTATTATGTACATATATGTATACACACAAATAGGACCATTCACAACATAGTTTCTCAGCTTTTGTTTTATTAGTCCATGAAAAGAGGATACTCTGTTTATGTTCCTACATGTTGTTTGAACTTTCAATAAATTTAATTCCTTAATCATAAAAACTAGCTTTACACATTATTTGCATTTCACCAAAGTCTACCACCATAGCAAACATCACAAATATTAGACTGCATGGCACCATTAGCTTTTCTTTCTTAAGCTAGTTCTGGACATCTTTTTCAGCCAGCATCTCTAGATCACTTCATTCTTGTTAATACTCTTGGTAGTATTTCATTGTATGGATGTCTTATGATGTATTTAATTCGTCTACCAACATTTCTAGGTTTTTGCTGTCATGCTGCTGCTGCAAGGTACATCCTTATTTTGAAAGGATAGTGTAAGTACAAGATTTCTATTTAATAATGTTCTTGGGAATAATTAAAAGTAATCTGTCTTAGTGTTCTCTTGGGGAGCACATATACTAAAGTTGGAATGATGAAGAGAATATCATGGCTCCCACACAAGGATGCCACACAAATTTGTGAAGCATTCCATATATAAAAAAGAAAAAAACTTAGAACTTATTTTTGTAACTAATGAATGATTATTTATTGTTCCATCTTTTTCTTTTAATTCTCTGAATAGGTAATACTTGCATGTGTTTTAGATACGTAAAAAGCTTAAAAGATGTAATGAAAAGGCATCCAGCCTGTCTCTCATCCACCCAGTGTGTACTTTGTAGTTTTTCTATGCATATACAAACAGTTCCCCCTCACACAAGTGGTGGCATAGTGCACCTTGCTTTTTAATTTTATATCTTCAATAGTTTGGACAGTTCTAGCCTTTCATTTTGTATAGAGGAAAACTACCATTTTTTTCTTTATTGACTTTAGAGAGACAGGAAGGGAGAGGGAGAGAGAGACGGAAACATCGATGAGAGAGAACATCTATTGGCCATCCCCTGCATGCCTCCCCCGCCCCCCACTAGAGATTTGGCTCACAATCTGGGCATGTCCCCTGACAGGGAACTGAACCAGCGATCTCCTGGTACATGGGTCGATGCTCAACCACTGAGCCTCAATGGTCAGGCAGAAAAATACCTTTTATGTAATTTTCTCAAGAACAAAGACAGCCACCAGGGCAACACAATCCCTAGTGAACATTTACTAAATTTTACAGGATCCTTCATCCAACAAATATACAAGCATGCCAGGAATTATAGTGATATAGTGATTAATGAGAAGGGTTTCTGCCATCAAAGAATCCTCAGTAGAGCTGAATAACAGAGAAGCTAGACTTGATCAGTTTTGTTGAATGACTTAAATTGCAAGCACCCGAAAGTTTGGTTTTACACTTGAATGAATACTATGTAAGGATTCACTTACGTAGATGCAGTTGTGTGAACCTTGATAAACCAGAAGAAAAATGTGTGGCTTGTCGTTATTTAAAGTAGTGTTTCTATGTTTTGTCTGAAAGTACAACAAAATCCTCACCAAGTTATTATAAATGTGGCTTTCATAGAAGTATGTTGTTTACAGGTTGGCAAGAGCCTTTTGATTCAAGATGTCATTTTAGTTTGCAGTGTTCATCTCTGCCAGAAGAGGGAGCAACTGGGACAGACTAGTTTAGTCAGGAAGCCTGCAGCGCCCTCAAGCGGTTGTAATTGACCAGGTAATTTATGTTTTTGTGTATCTGACCTTTCCTTACCAACCGAGGCTTATTTACTCACCAATAAAATGCCTTTCACTCCCCTCCCCGCCAAGTCCTGCAGCCACCTCCGTGTTTCCACCTCACTGGAACGACTTCCTAACATCTAATGTAGCTGGTATTCAGCATAGACCCTCCATTTCTTACTGTATCTCATCAAATCTAACCTGTCAGAATGTTCTCCCTGCTGCCCTTATCTGCTGGTCACTTTCTTTCCCCACATGTTCCCTTCTGTTTCGCACTCCTTCCTTCACTCAAGGTGCTCCCTTTTTCTAAAATACCACCATGCCCCCCTCAACAATTCAAATCCTACCCATAGTCAAGACCTAATTCAAAGATTCCCCAGTCTTCCTTGACTGTCCCGACTGGAAATTCTGTCTTCCCTGAAATCGCAGCTCTTTCTGTTTTGTATTGAAGTTCTTTATTCAAATGAAATAACTGTTCCTGTGTTTGATACTACACAATAATTGCACATGATAGCAGGGATAATCAGATTGAAGGGGAGAGGGTTAGGATCCTACTTGTGATCAGATGGTCAGGAGAGGCCTTCTGGGAAAAGACTGTTTACATGAGACCTGAAGAATGAGTGGAGGCAGCTTTGCAAAAGGTGGGGCGGCAAAGAGTTTGGCATATTTGAGAAACAGAAAGGAGACCAGCGTGACTAAAGTGGGGCTGGGGGGCTTTCAACAGATTTTAAATGCCTGGTCTGGAGGAGAGAGGCCCAGGCATTAGCATTTTTAAATATTCTTCTTGTGAATCTAAAGTGCAGCCAGGGTTGGGAACCACTGTTTTAAAAGTGTTATTATCGTTGAATGGGTGAAATCGTTTTTAACCAAACCAGTATCGAAGAATTGTATTGAGGAAAAGTGAGCTCAATCTATTTTCGAAAATAAGTTATACTGGATACTATTTGTGATCTTATTTGTAGCAAATGCAGGTATCCATTTAATCAAAGCTTTATTGAGCCCCTACTATATCAGGATGCTCCCAGTAACAGAAAACTAACCTACTGGCCTAACTCATAAGAAAATACATTGTTTTTATACCAAGACACTCTGGGCTCTGGGGCTCTGGCCTGCGCTGTGTGGTCTTTTTCCCTCAGGTGGTCAGTAAGATGGCTGAGCGTTTTCAGACATCACACACAGACCCAAAATGTCTAGAGGAGGGAAAGGTAACATCATTTTCCTGTGACTCTTATTAGGAGTAAAAAATCTTTCCCAGAAGTCCCGTCAGCCAACTTGCCCTCATTGGCCAAAATTGGGTTACATGTTTGTTCATTTTACTGTTGAAACTGCAGCAGAATCAATAAAAATACACACACACACACACACACACACACACAACAGGAAATAATGATTAGTGCATATTTGTCTCTTCCTCAGAGATGGTTATATTAAAAGAGAACATATTGCCTTGGCTGGTTTAGCTCAGCTGTTAGAGCATCGGCCCTTGCATCAAAGGGTCTCAGGTTTGATTCCTAATCAAGGGCAAGTTCAATCCCTGGTCCCGGCTGGGACCGTGCAGGAGGCAATCAACCAATGTCTCTCTCATATTGATGTTTCTCTCTCTCTCTCCCTCCCTCCCTTCCACTCTATCTAAAACTCAAAAGAAAAATATCCTCGGATGAGGACAGGACATATTTATAAACCATCAAATGAATCTTGAAATGTGTCAAAAACCCAGACCTTAGGGAGTGAAGGGTGAAGCCCATCAGCATGGACCATAGCAGGGGAATAACCAGTTCTAATGTGGAACAACAAATCGATGTCTGTCTGTCTGTCTGTCTGTCTCTCTTTCTCCCCATCCCCCTCTCAAATCAATAAAAAAATAAATTTAGAAAAGGAAGTAAATATAGATCTGCCCCATTCTTGTTTCCAGTAGCAAAATATTCCATTGTGTAGATTTAACACCACAGCCACTAATCACATGTGACTATTTAAATTTAAATTAATTAAAATGGAATAAAATTATTTCCTCAATTGCACTAGCCACATTTCAAGTGCCCAGCAGAAAAATTTCACTGGGGCTAACATACCAGACAGTACAGATATAGACCAATCTCGTTACTACAGAGGTTCTGCTGTCAGACGGAGCAGGTGTTGGGCCATAATTTAGTTATTTATTTAGTTATTTTTAAAAATTTTAATTTATTGCCTTGGCTGGTTTGGCTCATCAGTAGAGCATTGGCCTGTGGTCCAGAGAGACCCAGGTTTGGTTCCCGCTAAGGGCATGTACCTCAGTTGCAGTTTGTCCCCAGCCCTGGTTGGGTCGTGCGGGTGGCAACCACTCGATGTCTCCCTTTCATGTCAATGTTTCTCTCCCTCTCTCCCTCCCCACTCTATCTGAACAAAAAATGGAAAAATGTCCTCAGGTGAGGATAAAAAAAATTTTTTTTTTAAATTTATTGATTGATTTTAGAGAGAGAGAGGAAGGGAGAGGGAGAGAGAGAGAGAGAAACATCGATTGGCTGCCTCCTGCATGTCCCCCACTGGGGATTTGGCCCACAACTTGGGTATATGCCCTGACTGGGAATCATACCGGCGACTTCTAGGGGCAGGGGTCGACGCTCAACCACTGAGCCACACGGGCTGGGCTATAATAGTTTTAATGTACAATTTAAGTTTCCCTTTATCCTAAAAGAAACTCGTTCATTATTTCATTTAACAAAATCACTTTCAATATAAAAACATTTCTTGAAGCTTACTAGGGGACTTTGTCCTCCTGGGGGGCATCTCTTGTCGATATTGATCGCCTCATTCATCATTTGTGTTGAACTGTGTGCTGCTCATTAGCTGTGGTGCACGCAGAGGGAAGGGCCAAATTGGATATGGAGCACCAGAGCTCTGACAGGTGGTCAGAGTGTCACACTTTTTTTTTCTTTTTAATCCTCACCTGAGGATATTTTTTCCATTTTTTGTACAGATAGAGTGGGAGGGAGAGAGAGGAAGGAAGAGAGAGAGAGAAACATCGATGTGAAGGGACACATCGAGTGGCTGCCACCCGCACGACCAACCAGGGCCGGGGACAAACTGCAACCGAGGTACGTGCGCTTATCGGGAACCAAACCCGGGTCTCTCCGGACCTCAGGCCGACGCTCTAACCGCTGAGCCAAACTGGCCAGGGCCAGAGTGTCACACTTTTTTTTCTTTATTGATATTTAGAGAGAGAGATAAAAAGATTGATGAAAGAGAACCGTCAATTGGCTGCCTCATGCACAATCCCCCTGGGATTTGGTTCACAACCTGGGCATGTGCCCTGACCGGGAATCAAACCAGAGACCTCTTGGTGCATGGGTTGATGCTCAACCCCTGAGCTACACCAACCGGGCTGTCCCACTTTTTATTTTATTTTATATTTTTATCCTCACTCGAGGACATTTTTGCATTTATCTTCAGATAGAATGGGAGACAGAGAGGGGGGAAGAGAGAGAGACACATCGAGTGGTTGCCACCCACACAACCCCAACCGGGTTTGGGAAGAAATTGCAACTGAGGTACGTACCCTTAGCGGGAACTGAACCCAGGACCCTCTGGTCTGCAGGCTGATACTCTAACTGCTGAGCCAAACCGACCAGGGCATGTCCCACTTTTTTTTCTTTTTCTTTTTCTAATAATTTGTAGTTGGCAACATCTACATTTCTATTTTAGTATAAAATTGTGCATAAAGGGTTGCTGATGCAGCTCTCAGAATGAAGTTGAAACCAGTTTTCAATAAGGCAGTTTAAGTATTTTTTACATGATATGTATATGTTGTAATTTAAGTTAGGATTAATTTTATATTATACACAAACAGCTGGCACTGGTTTTGAGTCAAATTATAGTAATGATTAGTTAGTTTCCTTAGTATCTGAATAATAGCGTTGTTTCATAGCTCTGTATTTCCTAAGGAAATATAAGGCTTCTAGCTCCTTCATTACAAATTCGCCCCGTCCAATAAGTTCTTTGATCTTCTCTGGGTCTTTCACATCTTTGTTTTTAAGGAAAACATTCTTCAGGCGCCTTTTAAAATAGTCTGCTCTTTTTGGATAATCGCGTCCAAGGTACAGCAGATTTTTATAAAGATTTAGTACTTCTCTTCTTAAAGAATTGGCCATTTTCACTTATCATGGAAATATTCACTTTTATACATAGAATACCTTCCGGCACGCTGCAGCTGTGACTGGTTGACTGATTCGCTCTTGGAATCCAAGATTTAGGCAGGAGCCGACCCACAGAATTGTTGACTTAGCTAAAGTGTGTAGTATTTAAAAATGATGATGATATACTATGTTCATAGCAGCACTATTCCAATAATCAGAAGGTGGAAAAAACACACTGACAGATGAATAGATAAACAGCATGTGGTCTCTCCCTAGAGAAGAGTATCATTCAGCCTTAGAAAGGAAACGGGTGCAGGCTGCACCACGGGTGAACCTTGAGGACATCATGCTAAGTGAAAGAAACCAGTCACAGAAAGACAAATACGGTGTGATTCCACTTACATGAGGTTTGTGGAGTAGTCAAAACCAGAGAGACAGAAAGTAGAATGGTGGATGCCAGGGGCTGGGGCGTTAGTGTTTAATGGGGACAGAGTTCCAGTCTGGGAAGATGAGAAAAGTTCTGGAGATGGATGGCAGGGATGGTTGTACAACAATGTACTTAATGCACTGACCTGTATACTTGTAAAATAGTAAAAAAAAAAAAAAAAAAAAAAAATTAAATGCATGGTGAGTAGGCATGGAGAAGTGTTTAGGAGGTAGATGGAGAAACAGAAGATGGTCAGAGAGTCTTCCACTGGGGAGGGTTTCTAAGTGTGGCCTAGGAGATGGCCATCCAGTGACCACCCCGATGTGCAGGTCTTTCTGCGTGCTCAAGGGCGAGACGGTGCACTGCGTGTGGGGTGGAAGAGGGCCATGCTAATAGTTGTGAAACCTAAGTGGAGACTCCCTGACTCAAATCCATATTACCTGCTTGCAGTACACAAGTGTCTTGGCAGCCCAGTTCTCTCCAAGGCTGGCCCCCAACTTCACCAGCCACAAGGTGGCAGAAAGGTAAGCAAGGACAGGTCTCTCTTTCCTTTGCTTCTCTCCTCTCTCTCTCCCTCCCTTCTTGCGTTTCATCTTTCCTTCCTTAAAAAAATTTTTTTTCCCCTTTATTGATTTTAGAGAGAGGGGAAGGGAGAGGGAGAGAGAGATAGAAACATCAACGAGAGAGAACATCAATTGGCCACCTCCTGCATGCCTCCACTGGGGTTTTGGCCCACAACCTGGGCATGTGCCCTGACCAGGAATCAAACCAGCAATCTCTTAGTTCATGGGTCGACTCTCAACCACTGAGCCACACTGATTGAGCTCTACTATTAAATTTAAAAGGACACTTGGAGCCCTAGCCAGTTTGGCTCAGAGGTTGGAGCATTGTCCTGTGGACCAAAGGGTCTCGAGTTAGATTTCTGTGCAAGGGCCCATACCTGGGTTGCAGGTTCAATCTCCAGCCCCTGTTGGGGTCATTTGGGAGGCAACTAATCAATGTCTTTCTCTCTCCCCTCCCCACTTCCACTCTATCTAGGAATTTACAGAAAAATATCCTCGAGTATGGAAAAATATCTTTGGGTGAGGATTAACAAAAAATAAATACATACATACATACATTTAAAAGAGGCTTGGATGAGCGACCAGACAATCTTTTTGTTCTTGGCAAGGAGGATCCCATTTGGGAAACATGTCAGAGTTCCCTTCAGTTAGCCAGAAATCAAAGCAATCCCAATGAATAAACAACAGGAAATTTGGGGGATTTAAGGAAGTGCCACTGAAGTACATTTATAAAAAGAGTGCATAAACATTTCCAGGAAAGTTCTGAAACTGAAGAATAGTGAGGGAACACTAGCTTTTCCAAATACTATACTGAGTTACAAAGGCGGAGTATAAGATACAGTTGACCCTGAAGAAGGAGTGGGCAAATTGAGTGGTGTAATAAGAGAGAAAAAGCCAGAAAGAGACCAGAGTATGTAGAGCAAGTGGGATGTGGAAGATGGTCACTTTCTTCAGAGGGAAAGAATCAGAAGTACGCTGAATCAGGAGAACTGGATTCCTTTCTTATTCCATAGCTGAAGACAGATTAACTCCAAGTAGAGCAGAGATTGAAAAATACAAACATCTAGAAAATACAAGAAGAGAATGTAGATGGAAAAAATTCATAGTAACTCTGACCACAAGAAAAATCAAAGTTCATCTTTTGCAAAATATCAAAAGCAAAACCAAATTGGAAAATATATTTGTAACTCCTACGCCAGGCAAAGAAGTGATGGCCTTGTACAAAGAGTGCTAACAAACCAGCCAGTAGGAGAAATGGTCACAGGAGGTCAATGAGAAGTTCACAGAAGAAATGCAAATGGCCCATAAACATATAAAAAATGTTCAGCCTCACCCAGCTGGTGTGGCTCAGTGATTGAGCATCGACCCATGCACCAAGACGTCCTAGTTTGATTCCCGGTCAGGGCACATGCCCAGATTGTGGGTCCGATTCCTAGTGGGGGTTATGCAGGAGGCGGCCAATCAGTGTTCTCTCTCATCGATGTTTCTATCTCTCTCTCCCTGTTCCTTCCCCTTGCTAAAATCAATAAAGAAAAAAAAAAAAAAGCCCTGGCCAGTTTGGCTCATCGGCCTGCGGACCAGAGAGTCCCGGGTGTGGTTTCTGCTAGGGACATGTATCAAAAAAAAAAAAAGAGAAAATTTGAACCTGAAACCTACATCATTTTATTAGCCAATGTCACCCCAGTAAATTAAAAAAAAAAAAAGTATGCTTCTAGATAGAGAGAGATGGAGCTAGGGTTTGGGTGGCTGTGAGTTACTGTAGCAGGTGGGTGCGGCTTTCATAGACCTTCCCAAATACTGTCAGGTGTACACACATTTTAGGACTTCAGTCAAAGTTCATATAGGTTTTAAAACTACAGGTTTCTAAGGTGCACTTTACATGAAAGACTTGCTCTTTTTTAAAAAAGATTTTTTATTGATTTTTAGAGAGGAAGGGGGAGAGAGAGAGAAAGATCGATGTGAAAGAGAAACATCAATTGGCTGCCTCCTGTACACCCCCCACTGGGGATGAAGCCTGCAACCTGGGCATGTGCCCTGAGCGGGAATCGAACCAGCAACTTTTCAGTGCATGGAACAGTGCTCAACCAACTGAGCCACACCAGCCAGGGCCTGAAAGGCTTACTCTTTAGCTACATCCTGCTTTGTAGAGGGAATAAAATCTTCCTCTCTCTTCTACTTTTTTTTTTTAATACCTGTATGGGAGTAAACTTTCATATTCTAGGAATTTTTTAGAAATCATGAAATGTCAGGGAGTTAACATACAACTATAAACATGAACTCAAAAGCCATAATTTGTAATAACTTTATTGGCTCAGTTTATATTTAAATTGGGGCTATTTTACATCAGATCAAATTGCAAATGGCTGTTTTACAGCGATTAGGTTATAATAAATGATTTCTGTACCAACAATAGCAACAAAAAGAGTTTGATCGCCCTGGCCGGTTTGGCTCAGCGATTAGAGCGTCGGCCTGCGGTCCTGAGAGACCCGGGTTCGGTTCCCGCGAGGGGCGCGTACCTCGGTTGCAGTTTGTCCCCGGCCCTGGTCGGTTGTGCGGGTGGCAGCCACTCGATGTGTCCCTTTCACGTCGATGTTTCTCTCTCTCTCTCTCCCTCCCACTCTACCTGAACACAAAAAATGGAAAAATGTCCTCGAATGAGGATTAAAAAAAAAAAAAAAAAAGGAGTTTGATCATCCCCACCTGTTGAGATCAGGAAAGGTACTCGCATATGTTGTTACTGGGGGTATAAGTGGTAGTATCTTTTTAGGGGAAAGGATTCAAGACTATCAAAACAAGAGAACTCAGGGAGGGAAGAGGGAAGTACGTGAAGGGAGAGAAAAATACTTCAGGGTTCTGCTGTTTCATAAACTGCCAGGGCCATGGGTGTGACGTTCCTCTCTGAATGAGTGTCTCGAGGTAGTGTTTCAGGAACTTGAGTCAGTACCTTGGAAGCAGTCAACTCCTTCCTGCCTGGCTACCTTTCTCCTTCCCCATGGGGCAGGGTGGGGAAGAGGAGTGTGAAGAGAAGGCCTGTCTCTTCAGCATCCAGCTGATTGCACCAACTCCAGTGACACTGCAGAGGCAAAATCAGGCTCAAGGGCCTGGGGCCTGGGGCCATCTGAAGTTCCAGATCTCAGCAGCCACAGGGGCAAGAATGCAAGAGGAGCCTCGGCCCTGGCAGCCCTGGAGTCCCTCCCACCCCCAGACGAGCTCAAAGCCCTGTGCTCTGGAAGACTGTCCTCCCTCCTCCTGCTGCCCAGGGGTCTGTCCTCTCTTGGCCTCCCCCCTGAGTATCTGATTCGGGCCTGGGGAAGGAATGAGAACCTGTATTTCTTTTTTTTTTTTTTTTTTTATCCTCACCCGAGGATATTTTTCCATTTTTTGTACAGATAGAGTGGGAGGGAGAGAGAGAGAGAGAAACATCGATGTGAAGGGACACATCGAGTGGCTGCCACCCACACAACCAACCAGGGCCGGGGACAAACTGCAACCGAAGTACGTGCCCTTAGCGGGAACCGAACCCGGGTCTCTCCGGACCGCAGGCCAACGCTCTAACCGCTGAGCCAAACTGGCCAGGACGAGAACCTGTATTTCTAACGTGGTCCCAGGTGGCCAGCTGCTGCTACTCTGAAGAACACTCGAGGAAGCTTTGCCTGAGATGAATGGCCCTCAGTCCTGGGTGCTTGTGAGCCTCTCATGGGAGTTAGAAACACACCGACCCCTGCTCAGGATCCCGGGTCCCGACACTCTGAGGATGGTGCTCAAGGCTGGCACGCTGCACAGCCCCCTGGACTCCAATGGTTGGCCAAGTTTGGGGTCAACAGCCCAATTCCCCCTTGTCCATCAATTGTCAACTAAGACACTACTTCTTCAGAAGGTCTTCCCTGACTCCCTCCGATGGGGTTCGGCCCCTCATTCAGTCCCTCATTCATTCATCTTTCCACAAACCATGGTGCTCCCTGCATGTGCTGGGCCTGTGTGAGGACAGACAAGGTCTTTGCCCTCCTGATGCCCACATGCCAAGG